TTGCCTTGCTTTCCCGATCCTCGCTGCTTTGATATCCTCATCAGTTCTGCCTGTAATTGAAACGATGCTTCCCAGATAGGTAAAGGAGGTTACTTCTTTCAGATTTCTCCCATTTATGCTGATTGTCGTCTGTTGTTGTTGCTGTTGGCCAGGAATCTTCATCACCTCCGTTTTCTCTATGTTCACTTGAATTCCTATCTTTGATTTTTATTCTGCCAACTTGTTGCTTATCACTTGTATATCTTCCAGTTTGTGGGAAATCAGACATATATCGTAGCGAAGTCCAGATACTCCAAGTTTTTTGTGTGGGTCCATTTTATACCGGCCCGCTATCTGCCTGTCGCATTATCCAGTCTACCGCAATCAGGAGAATCATTGGCGATAGTAGGCAGCTTTGTCTTACTCCTGTCTGCACCCCGAAGGATTCCGTGAGTTTCCCGCAGCATTATCGTACAACTGTTGGATAATTGTTAGCCGTACCTCGTAGTAGCGAAGTAGTTTCCAAATCACTTCTCGATCGACGGTGTCTGCTGAAGGCCTATTCAAAGTTGATGAAGGTGAAGTAGAGAGCTAACTGCCATTCCAAGCTCTGTTGAATGACGGTACGTAGAATAAAAACAAATAAAAACCCAAAATTACCTCAATATTGTCATTAGGTAGCTATATAGACAAAGTTATATTCTGAGTACCAAACAATTACTTAGAATCAATAATAATAATTTGCTTTATTCCAGAAACAATACTAGTGGTACAGTGTGGAATTTTCAGCACATATCTACAATATTTGCATCTAATTTTATCAAACATTTAAAAGGAGTATTTCAAAAAAATAAATATAAAGACACCAACAGCAAAAAAACAAAATAAAACACAAAAATAATTTTTTTTAATGCGAAAAAATACCAAGAAGTAGAAAGGAAAATAAACAGCATATAATAATAACAACTCAGTATTGGGTAGTGGAAGCTATGATATGACTATGCATGGTGACAGTAAAGCTATAGTCATACAAGAAGTTATGAAATGATATTTAAGAATGTTTATCGCCAAGATGACCAGTTAATTTGGTTGAAACAACTCTAAACAATCATAAAATAACATTTCAGGGTTGTTGTTTTGTTTTTAATTGTCAGGTCTAATGCAGTGTTTGTAGTGGTAGTGTGAGTAATCCTGCATAATACAAAATTTTTTGAGGTGGTGGTAATGGCGTTCACAACCAATGATTGTCAGTTAATATTGCCGAAAAAAATAAAAAATAAGAAAAAACAACCACAAAACTAATAATTACATGATGGTTAATGACAGGAAAATTTTTTACTACTCATAGTGCTAATATAGTCGGAACCAGTAGATACACAAATGAAGGAATATAGTAAAGTACAAAAAGTAAGCCAATGTTAATAATTTAGGTAGCTAAGTATGTTTAAGAAGGAGTTCACTATAGAATACAAAATAAGAGAGAAATAAAAGAGCCTAAAATTATGATTATTGACAACAAAGCAAGTAGAATATTCCCAATAAGGTGGGATCAAAAACTCTCTCTCCACAAGAATCATACACCAACAATTCCCTCAAGGGGTTCAAAGTCAGAATGACATTGACTTACTCAAACAAAATCACATCGTTTTAATGACAAATAATAATTGGTGTATCTCACAACCACAAAGAGAAGCATCAAAACTTTGAGATTAAACAGGAACAATGATAAATAATAAGGATCAAATCAACATATGATTTGCAAATGTCAAAATAATGATGAGGATAGCAATTACAATTACACATTACAATTGTAATTAGATTGCTTCCTTTACAACTACTATGAAGCTTATATATATATATATATGGTGAACAATCAAATACCACAGTGTATCCTCTTTATGTAAAAACAAAGCCAAACTAACAATTTGTTTATTCGCATACATTTTTCTTTGACAAGTCAAAATTGTTTTGAAATTTACTTTTGGCTAAGTAATTATTCATATTCGATTTACAGAATAATTTAACTTACTCTTGTCAAAAATATAGCTATAACCTTGTTTACTTGTTTACTTACGGACGTACAATTTTGCAGTCAGTCTTCCGTTATTATTTACAGATTTCAAGCTCCACAAAATTACAAAGAGGAAGTAATTCTCTTGGTAAAAACAATCAAATAATCAAATTGATGTGACTGATGATGATTATGCGGAATAATAATTATAATTTGCATGATTTATTCGTGTCTTTGTTGCTTTACTACTGAAATCAAAGAAAAGACAGAAAGCTTTTTTTTGAAGATGGATTTTTCCTTCTTTCTTTTTACTTTTTACTTTTCTCTCTCTCTTTGTAATCAAGAATTGAAATTAAGTGCTTAACGAAAGAAAAGAAAAAAAAAATGATGTCAGTCCAGTAATCTCATTTTGATCAACTCTTTGAGAGATGAATTTCTCTGAAGTTCTGATTTAACGGCTTTGTAGTTGTGATGGCTGTCAGTTCAGCAGTAGTGTGATTAATCAGTATTAGTGACATGGATTAATAGTCCAGAAATAGGTTGGAATGTGTATTCTATGTTTTGTTTTATTTCTTTTTAATTTTTCAGTGGAATTTCGGTTCCTAAAAACAAAATCTATCTATGTAGCTTCAAGTAGATCATTTCTTTCCCCCACACTGAATAATTATTTGAGGAAATTCAGTAGAAGAAAGTTTATTGCAGTATACAAAATATATGAAACTAGCAGTGTTCCTCAAAGGTGGATTCTGTTTTTTTTGGAATGAATGAAGTCTTAATTTGTTCCAGTTTTGATCACGGATTGATGTAGGCAAGAGAACCATTGAAAACCGTCGGGGAGTACTGGACATCTGTCTCGTCTGAGTCTGGAACTCATCAGATGGACGCAGCTACTGCGGTTCAAACTATGGACTTTCCGATTACAAGGAAGCTCGTAGACCATGCAGTCACTGTGATTCGACTCAGTGACCAGCCCATGAATTCTAACTTCCACCAACTGATGATTTTAGTGAGACTACCAATCAATGTCTAATACCAATCTGATGCTCTCTAGTGAGTGGATGCAGGACCAGGTTTCCTGCAGTTTTAGTGAGGAGTCGTGACCAGTAGGGTATATCCGTTCGGGAGTTTGGACAAATGCTTACCGATAACACTGGCTGATGGTCACAATAAAAGTCACTAATTGGTAGAAGTTAGAATTTATGAGGTAGCTACTGAGTCGTGTCCCCTTGGATGAATTGTCTACGAGTTTCAATTAATTTTAATGTATGGTGACTAGTAATGGGATCCAGGATGCTCATTTTGTCCTGTTTAGGACTTGTGGCCCAAGTGGTCTAGTGGATAACGCTTTGGTGTTTGAAATAATGGGTACTGGAGTTGAGTATCAGTGGGAAATTCAGGTACATCAAGCTGGCCGACGAGTCGAAAATAGGACGAAATGTGCATCCTCGATTCCACTGCTAGTCACTACTCACAAAAAATTATTGTCAAGTGGATAGAATATGAAGACTTTAAAAATTGCAGCTGTACTCCATTTCTATTATTACTCTCAACGTAATCATTGATACTGATAAAATTTGTTTAGACCATAGATACCTCTTAATTCTTTTATAAAATTAATTTTTTGCCCCTTAAAGGCGGAATAAATTACTCCATCGCTGAAACTGAAACCAATTTAAGCATTAAATACCTTGCATTAGTTCTTTCCTATGACCTCTCATGGTTATACCATATCTTATCAATCTCTAAGAAAATGTTTCGTCTTACCTTCTGCATTAAAAAGTTAAGACAATCAGGTATCAACCAACCTTTACTTCTGCAATTTTTAAACTCCTGTATTTTACCTAATGTACTCTATTGCTCTCCATTAATCCTTTCCTAGACTTCTTAAAAAAGACTATATCATAATACGAAGGGTATTCAATGCTGTGAGTAGGGCTTGTGGTATGCCACTGCGTGAGCTCGCCAATACTATAGTCGAGAGACACATAAATTCCTGTACAAAATGGGCAAAGGCCGAACTGTCGGACCCCGTGCACCCCCTTTTTTCACAACTATCTCGTTGCATCTCATCAGGTAGGATGAGAAGTCAATATAAGAAGTTATATGCTCGAACCACTAAGTACAAAAATTCTGCAATACCGTATTTAGCCCGTATTTTATGTGATGAAGACACTGTTAGACGTGAAACAAATAAGTTACTATGTAACTAGCAAAGTGAATCGACCCTTTCATCGTTCATCTTTCTGTAATTTTATGGTGTTACCCTTTCTATCGTTTAATTATAACTTTGCTATTTTATTTCAGTTTTTACTACTATTATTATTATAATTTTATACTTTATGCATATTTTTCTCCTTATCACATACTGTAATTTGCCGCATAGCAGCTATTACAACGTTTTGTTATTGTTATTATTATGTAATGGTTTTATTTATTTATTTTTTTGTCGTTTTGAGTAAATTAGGTGCAATATTGTACTGAATGCTGAAAATTCCTTGCTGTATCATTAGTACTGTTTTTGGAATAAAGCAAAAATTATTATTATTTACTTAAATAAGAAAATCTTATACACCGTAACTACATGCAACGATGTTAGTAATTTTGAGAGGTATCCTGTTACACCTCATTTATCAGTTCTTGGAACGCCACTATAATATACTGTAGTGGACGGATTTTTGACTGACACCGTTCTAGTTCCTCAAGACTGAAGTAGAAAAGCCGCCTGGTCTGAGCAACAAATAAGATTTCGAATAACACAGCAAGTTCACCCACCTATCTATGTCGGCTGAATTGGTACCGATATCCATGCTGAAAATTCACATTAAACGGATCAAGTAAAATAAAAAATAATAAATAAATGAACTGAGTAGTTATAGGCTTGAAGGTGTTAGATGTTGGTTATTTTGCTATTATTTTTTAAATCAATGATTATAATTATTTCTTTAACTTCCTGAGGTCATTTACAAATATGTACATAATTTATCTCATTTTCTTTTCTTTTACTCCCTAGGTTACAGTGTTCTCGTCAGCATTTATGTTACTCGGTCTGACGACAAGTCGTTTCTTAGCCGTTGTATTACCTTGGCAAAATTTGAAGACAACAGAAATTCAAGCGAAATTGGTTTGTGTTGGAGCATGGTTAGGTAAGCACTTGCATTTTGTTATTCTTTATTACATATGCTTGGTCATCTTGAAGTCACTCTAAGGTTCTATGGTTTTTTGAATAAGATTCGTGTGATTAATGCGTATTATTAGGAGTATTGTTGCGTTCGTATTCGATGGTTGGAGGCAATTGTCAGGAAGTCTTCGATCTAGGTTTCATGCCAGTTGGTACTCGCCAGTCAGTAAGTAAGGTATATCTGCAACTATGAAGGAACTGATGTGCATTCTGAGATTCGAACTCGATTCACCACCCAGTGGTGCAGTCAGAGACGTTGCCACTGTGCTACTCAGGCCCGTGATTGACCTCCTGCAGGACTGTACTGGATATATTTTTATTTGATTGGACAATAGTCAGTAACTAGTGTAGTGTGTCTATTCCTATTTTTGGTGCAGATTGAATTATATCAATCGAAACGATCAAAAACATATGGCCAATAAAGGCAAATGAAAATAATATCAGAAACTGTATTGGGGTGCATGTGTAAGTTGAGATGATAGTCCATTAGTTAACAAAGTCAATCAAGTGTGTATAGAGTGTATAGTCAGAAAAATGGGATGAAGTGTGAATGAACAGTTGGGTGATATAGTGCTGTTTTTATAGTCAACAGAATACAAGTGTCATTGGGGTGAGAGAAATGCGATAACCACAAAATACCTACAAACACACATTAACAAAGGGGACATTGAATGTGAGGGCTGACCGATAATGTCTAATGATAAAATAAAGAGGCTAAATTGTAAATTGTAATAAGATGTTACAGAATTGGTAGGCTTAGTATAAAATCACAAAGGTTGACAAAATTAAGGGTAACAATGAGGTGAAATAAACTGGGTGGAGAAGTGGATAATAAAGACATGATATCACAGAATGATAATAATGGTAATAATAATACGGAAAATTATGATCCTGGTGACCTTATAGTGGGCCAGGGTAGACAGAGGGAGTGAATAAGTTTTTTCTGTACACATAAGTCTGGTCTTTCTCTATTAATCTCTAAAGCCTCAGCTATGGCTAGGAGGCGTAATCGTGTGCCTTTGGGGAGATTGTTCAGTACTCGATACACAACTGTAAATGACTCATCTACTTTGATGCTGTGTTCGCTATCCACTGGATGAGACAGAATTGTACTATTTAATGGTTTGGTTGCTCTTTTCCCAAGCCAAACAGGAATATGTTCACGAGTGCGTAAAGATAAATTCCTTTGGGTACGACCTATATAACTAGCTCCACAGGAGCAGTTGAATTTATATACACACATTGATGTCGCCATTTTGGGTAATCTATCTTTAATGCACAGTGTCAATATCGGTTTGGTTGAGAAAGTGACATGCAGTATATCACAGCACTATATATCACCCAACTGTTCATTCACACTTCATCCCATTTTTCTGACTATACACTCTATACACACTTGATTGACTTTGTTAACTAATGGACTATCATCTCAACTTACACATGCACCCCAATACAGTTTCTGATATTATTTTCATTTGCCTTTATTGGCTATATGTTTTTGATTGTTTCGATTGATAGAATTCAATCTGCACCAAAAATAGGATTAGACACACTACACTAGTTACTGACTAGCGTCCAGTTAAATATATATATATATATTGTTGCGTTTAAATAACCATAATAACAGAAAAACCATGACCTCACCATAGAATTAATTTTGTTATAATTAGTCAATTTTCTATACAGTGAGTGATTTAAGCTTTCTGATGAATAGTACAGTCTTAAGAAATTGACTTAGGTGAAATTAAAACTCTAGAAAAACCAGTCATGGAAACGCAATATTTATCATTTTATCTAAGTATACATATATAAATTTTAACTCTTCCACATTATTTCAATTATATCCATGCATCTTGGTAATAATAATTACAATGAACTTTAGATATTTGAAGATTAATTTTAATTTCACTGAATGAAAAATGAATTTAACTGACCTTATTTTAGAAAAGAATGAAAGTTGAAGATAAATGATTGTATATAAGAATAATTGTTCATGATTACTTAAACTTTTAAAACTGGGCTATATTCAACAATTATTTATTTTTTCAGAAGGTGAAATATCAATTAAGCATAATTAATTTATTTTTCACCACCTCATCGAAATAAAGATATATATATTAATTACTATTTATAGTTCTTTAGGGTTCCGAGTGGAAAATAAGGCTTCCACAGCACATCTCCACTTTGTACCTACGATTCCCCTTACTCTCTCATCTCTTACTCACACGATGACCATGTCACACTCATGGACGCCTCACTCGTTGTTTGCTATTCAGGTTCCACTAAAGTGATGGTTTGACGCGCAGTCTCGTTCGACGTTATCCTCAGTGTGTGCTCAATCTGTCTATACATATTTCTTGAGCAATAGGTTCTTGGTTGAGTTGTTCCCATAGTTTCTTGTGACTAATTCTTTCTGGCCATTTGATCTTCAATCGTTCCACAGTGAAGATCAAATGGCCAAGGTTTAGGGTGAATATGTGTGAGGATATAAGCAATGAAACCCTATCAACATTTTTCAAGCTTCATAAACACAGATCGACTCTAATGGACGCTCAATACTGCATCAAATTTCATTATTCAGCCGTCAAACACTTTCCATGATATTAGATCTTTTTGTAACGGAATAATTATTTGGTAAATCCCTCCTCAACGATCACATTACAATATTGATACTTATGTGGATGTTTCAGCTAACTCTGTAATTATTAACATCTTTACTTCTAGACTGTTTATCATTGTTCTGATGTTTCACATATCATCTGTTGACTTGATCTTTGTTATTTGTCTGTGTTCTTGTATAATGCCTAATTTAAACGCTTCTTTTTGTCATTGTGTAATGATATTGATAATGTGTTGTTTTAAGACTGCGATCTCTTTTTAGTGAATCCAGGTCATTGTGATCTTGGAATTTGAATAAAGCAAGAACAACAGTTTTTGCAGAATAAAATGGTACCATCATTTATTTCGTCGGCTTCTCATCAGCTGCTTACAGGCCAAAGTCATTATAAAATATATCTACAAAAACAATTTTAACATACTTGCACAGAGTTCATTTTTAAACAAAAATCAATCAATATATGCACACAGTAATAATATATACATATATAATATTAAACATTATTCCGAACAATAATGATCATACACAATGGAAACTTCCGGCACTACGTAATCAGATGAAAGAGAGGTGAAAATATCCAGTTACCAGGCAGGTCAGGGAAAGATTGATAACCGCTTCTTTCTGGACGCATAAATCAGGTTTCAGGCGCTTGATGGAAATGGTTTCAGCAAACTTGAGGAGAATTGAACTCTTTTGCCTATTGATAATTTTGAACGATCTTGCGACGTCCACCTTATGACCCATGTCAAGGACCAATGCCTGGCGATGGCACTGTTTAAAGCATTTGTTCCCTTTAGATATAAGCTTTTTGGTACATGTTCAGAAAATCGTCGATATGCCCAGTGTAACTGCTCCCGCAGATACATGTAAATTTGTATATACAGTTGGAGTTAACATGAGAAGGATATCTGTCGACTTTTGATTGCACATTAAGAGCAAGTTGTTTGATAGACGGGGACGAGCTTAGCTGCAGGATAGGCTCTGGCTAGTGACGTACTCAGTCTTCTGTTGACCATTGCTGCAATGCTTTCACCTTTATAATCAAGTTGAATGTAGACTGGTTTTTTCTTCACTGTGATTTGTTTGACACTTGAGACTTCAGATCTTCCGTACTTGTTTAAGAATCTTTGTGGGTAGATATATTTAATAATGTCTTTGGCCTGTAAGCAGCTGATGAGAAACCAACGAAATAAATGATGGTTCCATTTTATTCTGCAGAAACTGATGTTCTTGCTTGATTCAAATTCATTAAGGAGAATAAATGTATAAAATTCTTGGAATTTGTTCGAAAATTTTCAGATGCGTGATTCCTTTTGAAAGAGTTTTGATCCGACCATACTAGGAATATTCTACTTGATTCTAAGATACTTCTGACGGCTGATTTTGATTAAATAATTTTGTCCTGCAGTACACCACTGGTGAGGTAATCTTCAGTTTTCATTGTTATTATTATTTTTAAATAGTACCGCAGATTTCATGGAAATTCACTGCCTTCTTGGCGTCATCGAGGCGCTTTGTTACTGTGAGTAACTCAGGAGAATTTCTGTCAGCTATACAGTGGAACGTAAAGGTCAATTTCAGACCACTTTTATGAAAAGAAGAGAATATATTTATTTTTAAGTATCATAAACTGAAAACACATGCAACATAAAAAGCAGAATATCCAAAAGTGGGTTATCATCAATAGAAGCACGTGAACGGATATCGGCGAAATGACGCAACCGAAAAAGTCACTTTGTTCTCTAGATGCTTAAAATGCTAAAATGAATAAACAATTCTTTTACTCAGCTTACACAATGTCGGCTCAATAAAACTAATAAACTCTTCTGATTCTCATACACAACCTTTTTTGTGGATAAAAATTCACTTTGTTTTATTGTTGGGCATTGCTGTCAGGTTAGCAATAAACGGAAACTGAGAATAACAAAACTGATGACCAATATAAGTACTATCTATAGATTTTGTTTGGACTGAAGAAAAGGTGAATATTCTATATACTTGCTATTTGGGCAAAAGAGAATGAGAGAATCTTCCTCATAAATCTCTTATTTAGTTGTTGTGAAGAATGAATGAAGAAACTTACAACGCTTCCGATAGATGTAACAATTGAAAGTTGACATGTGTCATAATAAAATAGAATAACTATCATTAATCTGCTTAACATCAATTCAGTGTGATAAAAAACTTACAAGAATACTGACTTACACTTGTTTTGATATGCTGAAATTAATGGAAAAAAAAAGAGTTCCGATAGTTGAAGGATGATATAAAATGGGTGTTGTTCATATATACATATGTATATATATGCGTCGGTGGTTCAGCGGTAGATTGCTCGCCAGCCACGCGCG